TTGCTTTATTTTGATAGTTTATTTTATTAGAAGCATGTGCCTTACATTCTATCAAAACAAGATTGAACAAAAACCAAAGAAATGATTATTTATGATAATAGCTAGGAGCAATAGTAATCCTTAAATCCTAAACTAACATGAGAAACATCATTGAGGTTATAACTCAAACCTAGCTCTAATGAGGAGGTGCCCTTCTTTTTCCTTTGTTCCATCCATGACAACTGTGCAACCTTTTCGATCTATCATCTCTTCTCTGTCTCATCAAAAACATGCCATCACTTAAAGGTCATGGCACCGAACATCAAAGGTTCAACATATGGTTCACTATCATGGGGCCTGTCATGGGCCCTGTGTATTAGATGACTGATTGGTTTTTGACCATGATAATCAAAGCATGCTCTAAGACACATTGGAGCATTAAAAATTGAGAATCTCTGGAGTGCTAAAAATAATGGTTTTAAAAAGCAGACGACTTCAACCGTGAAACGATCATTCAATCGATTTGGTCGAAACTCGGAATTGTTTATGTATAGAACTAGGATTGAACCGATCAAAATTGAGGTTGAACCGATGAACCAGACTAATTTTTCTAAAGAACGTGTCGGTTCAAAGATTGTCATATTTTACCCTTTTAATTTTAATTAAATGACCAGAAATAATATATTTAAATTAAAATAGAGAAAAAATAATGTCTTAAATTTTATATTTAAAATATTCTTCGAAATATTCAAAAATGTTGTCTTAAATTAAAATATTTTTTTGTTAAATTCAAAAAAAATGATGTTAATATATCATTATTCTATTGTATAAATTATATTAGAATAATATAAATATTTATGATATCATCTGGAGATTTACCAGAGTTAAACCTTCGAACTTTAAACATTCTTATTCATGTTTGATGTATGCTCTGGTTTTCACAACCTGGCTCGAAATAGTTTTATATTAAGTCTTATAATTTGAAATATAAAAGTTTGCTTTATTTGGATAGTTTATTTTATTAGAAGCATGTGCCTTACATTCTATCAAAACAAGATTAAATAAAAACCAAAGAAATGATTATTTATGATAATAGCTAGGAGCAATAGTAATCCTTAAATCCTAAACTAACTTGAGAAACATCATTGAGGTTATAACTCAAACCTAGCTCTAATGAGGAGGTGCCCTTCTTTTTCCTTATGACAACTGTGCAACCTTTTCGATCTATCATCTCTTCTCTGTCTCATCAAAAACATGCCATCACTTAAAGGTCATGGCACCGAACATCAAAGGTTCAACATATGGTTCACTATCATGGGGCCTGTGTATTGGATGACTGATTGGTTTCTGACCATGATAATCAAAGCATGCTCTAAGACACATTGCCAGACTCCCTTCTTCTTTTTGTATGATTCTTCGGTCGGCCTTGTGGTGATTCCCCAATCCTAACATACATTCTAAAGGAAACAAAACTTCCAATCCATGATTTTATTCTCCAAATCAATCATATAGAACTTCCTGGTCGACCCGAAGGCAACGTAACTGTTGGGCTCCACTTCAAAGGAAAACATGTACGAGAATATCTCCCAAGACTAGTGGATCTCCACCTGTGACAATTAGATAACGAATGTCATCACTATTGTGATAGATTTTAGTTTTATCTATGCGAGGATAACTCTGCAGTGATTAAGAATTAACCGGATCTCGTGACTAAACAATGGTCAAGGATCCCACCAAAACTGATCTCGGTAGAAATTAGATCATCGCCAAAGTGATCAGTCACCCTTGCCTCTGGCTCCACCACCTCGAGCTTCACGCTCGTGTCATATACACAAGTATCATCCAAAAACGCTGCTTCAAATGATTTAAGAGTAGAACATTCGGTCACTAGAACCAATCCGAATAATTGTGGGGAATATTTGGAAGGCATGAGAAATGTTCAAAGAAGACTAACCCGAGGACAAAAATGAGACGACTAAATAAAAGGAAAAATGAAATTTGAAAATGGTAAACCCCATTTTCGTTTTGGTCTGTATATATAAATTATCTAGGGAATTCAAAACGCCTCAAATCCTTATCCCGATTTCTAGTAATTCACATCATAACAACATAAAATTTTGAATGTTTGCAAAATTTCAATTTTTATTTGTGAAAGGAAATATTTTACACTGGGGCTTCGACCGCCTAAGCCAACACAGGGCCTCGACTTACAATACTCTGATACAATGCACGCCCACAAATTTAAACTTCTCGACACTTTCTTCCTCCACTTGGACCCAGGTGATCAAACCAGTCACTTGAACCTCTACAAGCTCCATCTAAAGAGTGACCACCTCCATCCAGGGAACCAACATGTCCGTCTGAAGGTCTGTCAGCTCTTCCTTCAAGTCTGTATGGCAAACTCCCTCTACATGTCAGTTTCCCAAGTGAAGAAGTCCACCATTCCATCCATCTGGCGAGCTAGCAACCCGATGATCCTTGCTGACCATTAGTCTCTTTGTCTATGATCTCATGATCAGATAGACAACCGAATGAACCTCCACCTTGAGCCAGAACAGAAGGTCTCTTGGTTGCCTCTGAGAGGGGCTTTGGTCGGCTCCCATGATTGATGAGTCGATAATATACACGGTCTCCTTTGCAAGAATAATAAAATTTCATAAAAAGAGAAAGGAATAAATCTACTTGGTCAAAGGAAATTTAGTTTTCTCATACCAACCATTCGCTGCATCTCAAATGATTAGAGGCTCTCACCAGCAAGCACTTGAACAACCTCCTAGCTGGCCTGACCGACCGAAAAAAAGACAGTTGTACCTTCCCGTGCCTAGACTTGGGTCTCTATAACTGCCTGACCGGTTGCCAAGTTGGTCGCTCACAAATAGGAGTCAGGGTGAGGAACGACGCAACAATAGCATGCACATCAGCCCTGCTCCCCATCTCACGATATGGCATGGCATCAGGTCGGATGACTTAACCACTTCCTCCACCCTTTATTTCCTCTGGATCATTTGCTTGGCTTGCTTCTCTCCCTCCAGCCGACTCCCCCCTTCCACAGCCGACCTTCTCCCTCGAACCTGCTTGCTATTACTGATCGGACCTCATCCCCCAACTTCTTTATTGCAGCTCTCCAATTTCCTTTTCTCCTATAGGTTCTCGGTTGAAAGATCGAAAGTCTTCATCATGACCTCTTCATTTACAAATTTCTGGCTAGTCGCCATAAAACTCTTCTATTAACAACTGACTGAAGGGTGGGAAATTCAAACTGATCGAGGGACAAATGCTGATCACGCTCTATTTATAGGGATTACAGGCACGAAACTCCAATAAGTTCAACTATTAAAAGTACTTATTTCGTAATAAATAAATCAAATTTTATATTTAATTCTCTTATTCTTATCTCAAGAAAATCCTCTGAGAATGTTTCTTGTCCAAGGAGAGTCACACATCAGATTACAATAATACACCCTCTGCCTGAAGACCCAAGTTCACGCTAACAACAGGAGATCCTCTACTGAGGATTCTCGTGAGAGGGCCGACCAAAGACCATTTAGCCAACCAAATGATTCTCAGTTGATCGAATAACACCAACAATTCATAAAATACCCATCTTCAAACAGCTAAAAATACAAAATGATGCTCATGTCAGTTGTGAATATTAAAAGGTCTTGAAGTCAGTTACAAACATGAAAATGTGTAATAATGACTTGTAACATCCCTATTAAAATAAGGGCAAATATATAATTTCACTAGATACTCTTAGAATATATAGATAAGAGGTCATTTCTCCAATAAAAGACTAGTAGATTTAGTTTGTGTTACTATGCACTATATCTCCTCTCTCTCTCTCTCTCTCTCTCTCTCATCGTGTCGTCCATCCAACATTCTATACCTTGATTATAATCCCCAGGAGATTTGAATTCAACAATAATAAACAATGACAGTGTCATCCATCCAACATTCTATACCTTGATTATAATCCACAGGAGATTTGAATTCAACAATAATAAACAATGACACTAAATACTAAATACCAAAAACATAACAAGTGCAGAAACTAACAAAACCAGAAGTTATCATGGGAAACGAAACAAAAACTAAAACCAAGGTTAAAAACCATCATCTAAACCTAATTGTGATTAATCACGATCTTCTGTGCCTCCTCAGCTCCATTTAAAACTTTAGATAAAGCTCTGGCATGACAGAATGCATTAGGTCCGTTCTAACAAGACTGCTGCTATTCTAAAAAGGCAACAATATTAAATAGCAGTAATTTGCAAACATTAAAAAGATAAATAAATAATTTGCGAACATTAGATCTTCAATTAGTCTAGGTTTTTGAACTACATAAATGAGACTACAGGAACAGATAGCCAGATTAACGACGTTGCAAAGAAAACAAGATTTTCAGTAAATATTCCATTATTGAAACTTCAAATGACAGAGTCAAGTCTGAGCAAACACTAATCACTCATTCAAGTTTGAACTCGATCTCAATTCAATCGTCAAAAGGGCTCATAAATCAGCTCATTTGCTGTTAGCATTTGTAAGACTCCGGGAGTTACGAGTTCGAGCCTTAACCTCGAATGAGTCGCAAAGGGTTGGTTGGGGGTCCACCCTCCGGCCAATCTTTTATATATATATATATATATATATATATATATCGCATATACATTTAGCCGTAATAAAACAATAAGAAATTAAGGGAAAAAGAGTATGAAATCGGCCGAGATCAGGATAAGAGAAGATTTTAAGATAATATTATACTTAAACCTTTTAATCCTAATATATTTTGTTATAATTTTAATTAATATTTATAAACCAACATGCTTAGCTTATGAAAGTCAAATGTAAAGAACTATTGTCCACTTTTTCTAACTATGATGCGAGTTTGGCAAGTTAATACAAATCCAGATTATCCCAAGCCAATCAGCTAATAACAACAAATAACAAATTAAAAAATGTATATAAGATGAGAAAAATGCTCTAGCATAAACTACAAAAAATGAGAAATTGCTTTGCAGAGAATAAAACTCCAGAGCATTCTACAAGAGATTTTTTACATGAGAAGTGACAAACCACTCCTAGTGAAGCTCCTACCTTCCCAAAATTTTTTTTTGTATGCGTTGGGATTTGTCACATTATATTCAATGAATTCCTTATAAAAATTTTGTCCCACATCTCTACCAGTCCGTAAACTATTTACTACGGTAGTTGGAATGAATCAATAAAATATATTTTGAGACTTTTAAGCAACCTAAAACACTGTTAAACTAGAATAACAGCTTCTCCTTCAAACGAGATATCAACTTGAATTTCTCCTCGGCTTCCACCTGCTGGCGAATGTCAGTTCTGGAAGCTCGATCTGGATGAAATCTAAGTAATGCTTGCTTATACGCAGCATTAATCTGTCAAAAAAAGTATCAACATAGAATCAATGATCTTGCTTAACTATTAGAGAAGTTAATTGCATATTGAAACAATTAATGGTCTTTTCTGGTGGTTTATTATAAAGAGCTTGGGCTTAAAACAAGGATTCAGGATTCATAGGTGGTGGAAAGAGTATGGTAAATATCAGAGGGAAGGGAAAAAATTAGTCCTCTCATTAGTTTTTCCGGGAATAAAATGAAGATTTACATGCATAACACTCAATTCTTATCTATTTACATATCTAGTACCTAAACATCAATTTTTACATATATGCCATGCCACCTTATCTATCATGAAAAAAGTATTTCAATTTTTTAAAGTTTAAAAAGTGGTACTTTTTGTGTGATATGAAATATTTGGGTGGCATAAATGTAAAAAATAAAATGCAAAATTATGTAAATAAATAAGAATTGAGTGGTATGCATGTAAAAGCCCTTACAACAAATTTTTAGTTCCATGTGATCCTCGCCTTCTTGAAGCCGGTAATGCAACACTTGAAATTATCACTGTCCTATTTCTGTTTATATTGATATTATTTCTGTTTATTGGGTCACAAATGTCCTATTTCTTTTTGCACATTATTTTCTCCTCAATAATTTTTCATTGTGACGGTTAACAATAAAATCAATTAAAGATCCATTTTATGTTTTTATTTCACCATAACTCCAAGATTATTTGAGAGGATTCCTCCAGATTAAACCTGATGTTACCAATCCTCAAGCAGATTAGGCGTTCTGTGAGATCAGCTTTGCAGTAACATATAAGAAAATTACACATTGCAAAAGATTTAAATCTTAATACCAGAAGGAGCATATCAGTGGTAAAACCAACTGAAGACAAAGCTAAAACTCCTCAAGACAACGTATGAACTGCGATGGAATCGCGGAGAGCAGCAAAGGGAAATGAAGAGATTTTATTGCTAAACACATATCAGCATCACACATCTAGCTAGATTTCCTGAGGTTGAAAAAACTTTTAAGCACGCCTTGGGATCTCATTAGATAAGTTTAGTCCAAACCCTAATAAAAGGAAAGGAAAAATGCCACAGTTTTTACACCTACTCGCCCCTTCAAACTCAAAAAAAAATTTACTGTTGATTTAAATCATGGAATAAAAAAATAATGAAAGTTCACCTCATGAACCGTGGGAATAAAGCCACCTTTAACATGAACCCCTAAAGCACGTAGTACTGAAGCCATGTCCCTGCACTTCATTTCCAATGCCTCAAGCTCTTTTCTTACCTCAGTACGAATTCTTTCTTTTAATTTTGTGGTTTCCTCATCCTGGGGTTGGAGAAAAAAAAACTCATAGCATTAAACAGCATAAAATAAAACAATAAACATGCCAACATTGCAAGAGAAATGAGTGAGAAAAAGAGAAAATACAATGGAGGAAGTACAAAAGACATGTAAGAAATAACGAGTTAATTTTATTATATTTAGATAAAATCTACTAATTTATTTAATTATATGTGATTGATTTTCGTGAAGGCAATCAGATGAACTATCCTTTTCTTTAGAATTATTTTAGGATTTATCTTATTTCCTATGAATTATCCGGATTTAAATCTTAATACATTTAAAATTTTCATGGAATCTTCTTCCTAAAAAAAGGCGTATGATTACATTGTAATGGAGTATTTATCCATCATTCTCATTAGCTTTATCCCAACTTATTTGGGGTTGGCTTCAAAAATCTTTATTTTCCATTCATTCATGTTGATTGCTACCAAAGATGTTAAATCTATGCTTTGAAGATGATTTTGAACTTTTGTTCATGTTTACCTTTAGCTTACATTTTCTCCTTCCGAATACTAATCACTAATTTTATCTGATCATCTAATGATACATTTTCTATCCTACATTGAACATGTCCAAACTTCTGGAATCCATTTCAATTACCTTTTCTTCAAATAAATGGCCCTCCAAATGTTCAACTTACAAAATCATTCCTTGATTTATCCTTTCCCATTATGTTGCACATCCATGTTCACATCTTATTTCTATCAAGCTCAATATAATAAATAAAGTACTATTTTATTATGATTTAGATGTATGTCCAAGTCCTATTTTATCCCCAAAATTCTCTCCTAAGATGTTCGCTCTACCACATTGCAAAGTCAAAATATATCGCTTCTTAGGAATTTGCTAACATTGAAATCCCACTTTTTTATACTCAAATGCAAACGGGCTAGCTAATCATTTCATGATTCCCTCCTTAATAAAAATTATCATGCATCAAGCATGTCAAATCTAATAAACACGTCGGACTCAAAATTAGACTTGAAATTGACCCAATCCGAGTGCGCTTAACCTAAATCCATCTAATTTATCATAAAAGCCAAAACATTACACCTGACAACAAACCATTAACCTTTTTAGTCCTGGATAATCTAAATTTTGTTTCATCTTATATTATTATATAAATCTGACTTAAACGAGCCCTGATTCTAAAGATACAACAATTTATCTTCTGATTATGGATTCGGATGAGTTTGACCTATCCCAAATCATATCAAGTATGAACCCAGCCATCTTATTATCAGAGTTGAAACATTATACCCAAAGCTAACTTGTAAAATATTTGAGTCAATCCAAACCTTATTTTTTGCGTTGGGTCATAAATTGACACGCCTATTCCCATTCACACTCTAAAATTCACTCAAAACTATCTGAATTCACTCCAATTTGCATTAATAGTGAATCCAAGGAAAATATCGAGCAATTCAAAGATAAAAATAAATATCAACACCACCAATAAGCCACCTCACCTCATCATCTGAAAGAGCTAAAACTAGATATAAAACGTCTTAATAATAAAAAAAAAGTTAGAAATAAGGAACAAAAAATGAAAAAAGAAAGGAAGGAAAAAAGCTACAAATAACAAAATAGAATTAACAAATAATCACAAAAAGCTATAGATAGGAGTTTCGAACAACTGATATGATCTCTTTCAAATGCTACCAATGATCCACTGATTGAAGAAACTGCACAAAACGTTCACAACGAAATCAAAAATAGGTAGAGTAGTATGCACGGTTAATTAATACAATGAAAGAAGAAAGAAAAGATGGTGTGATGTGTTGACCTCATTTTTAAGGTCATTACCTTTTCCTAAGGTCTTGGGATCTAGCTCTAGAAATTCCTATTGACCATCTTAGAAAACTAAACTTGAAACCCACCCTTTTAGAAATTCTAACTACTTCCTATTTTTCTTTGATGTCTAACATTTATGACATAAGACCATCGTCTTATGAACGAGCGGTTATGGGCTATTTTGTGAAGACTCAAGGAAAAAGTTCCTAATAGGACTCCAAGCCTTAGGAAAAAATCGGCACGACTTTTTCGTCACATACACACACCAAATGCACAAAATTCACAAAAAAAATTGCAGGAAGACGGTCTTCAATTGAGCCTAAAAGACGGGTGAAAATGCGAACTTCTCTGAACGACTTCCGAAGACGAAATGGATTTCGCCAACGCGTTCAAGATACCAATTTTAGTAGGAAAAGACGCTCACATTATCATATTTTCGACACGAGAAAATTGACACGCATTCATATTATCATATTTTCAACACGAGAAAATTGACACGCAAATCGATGAATTCATCAAAACGACTTCCGACGACGAAACGGACCGCATCAGCGCGTCCGGAACGTCAGAATTATGCATAAAACACAAATTAAAATTTTATTTTTCAAAATATTTAATATTTTCTTTTATATAAATATTCTTAAATTATATTTATATTAAACCTAAGTCTGATTTAGGTTTTTCACCCGCACTCCCTCCCTCTGTTCGGCCTGATCACGGGTGCGAACAGGGCTTACGCTCGTTGGCTCTCCCTCTCGCCTCTGTGCCCTAGCTCCACGACGGATCCACGCGGCGACGCTTTCCCCTCCCGTCTCTTCCCCTTCGCTACATGGCACGACAGCCGTTCGGCTCTCCAATTGGAGGAGGGCGGGTACGCTTTCCCCTCTCGTCTCTTCCCCTTCGCTACGTGGCACAACAGTCGTTCGACTCTCCAATTGGAGGAGGCGGGCTGGCCGATGTTCCTCCTACTCGAGGCTATATTCGCTCCCTCTTTATTGTAACTCTTCTTTTCCTCTTTTCGATAGGTTGGTTAGGGCGGAAAACAGGTGACTTCTTTTCGTTTCTATGGCTTTTGGCCTTACGGTGTGATTAGGGTGTCTTTTGCGTCTTCTTTTGACTGTCGGGCTACTTGAGTAAAAAAAAAAGGAAAAAGAGAGAGTTCTTGAGGGAGGAAAACTTGAATTTCTTTCTGCTGTTAGAAAAAAATTTCTCTATTTTGCTGTTTGAAGGCATTCGTGGGATGTCATTTTCTGAGGCTTTTAAGAAGGGAAGTTGTGCCGAAATCCTCTTTAAGCTAGAACTTTCAAGTGTTTGTGGCGTGGAGCATTTATGGTTGTCGTTTCTGGGGATCTTTAGGAGGAATATTTCGCTTGGAGTGGTTTTCTTGAATCATTCTTATAATTTTATTTTAAATCTGTTGAAAAGAGATATTTTTCTCCTCTCCACTATTTAACATCATTTCGGATGACATGAAATATGAAAGTTTATTGAAGCTTAAGCATGAGTATTTGCTTAGATGGTGAGAAATGAAACATGCATATATGGATCACCTCTACTTTTCTTTTGCTTGAAACACTTGAAAACATGGCTAAGGTGGTCTTGGAATGCATTTTATTCCTTTAGAAATACATATGGAAAAGCATGTTTGAGGGCTGCCTTTATTACTTTCGTTGCTTGAAATATTTGGTTTCGGGGCTTGAAATATTTGGAAGTATGAAATGCATGCTGAAAATTATTTTATGGGATGAAAAAATATGTTTGGGGTTTATTTCATGCTTCTCTTGCTGCCCCCCTTACTAGAATGCATGCTGAAAATTGTTTTATGTCTATGGAAAAATATATTTGGGGCTTATTTCATGCTCCTCTTGCTGCCCCTCATTAAAATTCTTGCTGGAAATGATTTGTATGTGCTTAAAGATACATTTCGGCTTATGTTTTATTTTCCTCTTGCTGCCCCCTCATTAAAATACTTGCTGGAAATGATTTGTATGTGCTGAAAGATACATTTGGGGCTCGATCTTTCCTCCTTTTGCTGTCTCTCTGCGTTAAATACGTATACATACGTGAAATACGTATACATGACATCCCTTATATCTTAGGGACTTTGAAGAGCTTCTTTGAGGCTTAAATTGGTGGATGTTTTTGTCATTTTTTCTGGGCTCGATTTGGAGCTTGTTAGGGGCTGGTTTGATAGTTGTTTTACTCCTATTTCCAGCTCTACCCGTGAGTCTTAATTGGTGTGTGTTGCCTTTACGGTTTTCTTCTAGTTGCCTTTAATCGTGACCCCTACATGTTATGATTAATGTTGAGGTTGGCTGGAATTTAATTTGTTCTTTATTTTAGCTTGGTCATGAGCTTTCCCTATGACTCTTTTATGTTTGATTCAAGCTTAAATAATGATGAGATGATACCTATTGCTTTGATCTTGGGTATTGTTTGGTGGTGTTGCCTTTGGGGCCTTCCTTTTGGCCCTTACCCGTGGGTCTATTATGATGTTGGAGTCCCCCTCATGGTCTTACTCGAGAGCATATATTTGATTTTTTTTTACACCATGTTGGATTTATATCTTATTATAAACTTTTGATGAAGGATGGGATTAAATCGTTTTTGATATTGGTATGTTATTCTAGAAGGCTAGGGAATTATTTCTTTCATTAATTAATGTCTCTCCTTTTGTGAAATGTAAAAGGGCTTGTATAATTTCATTTGGAGAAAATATAGGGTTGATGTGAATTGAATTCATGATGGGTTTTGAAATGCGCAAGATTGTCATTTGGAAAGGATATCATTCTCGGGATTGATTCGATCATTTTCTTTTTAATAAATTTAAACGTCTTTAGGTCGATGCACTTATGATTTCATATAAGCTTTAACGACTTGGCTTTGTTCTAAAAGTGAATCGGTCTCCCTTCATTTTTATTTTTTTTTTTAACGGTCAAGTTAAAAATGGGAATTTCCGATTTAATTATATTCAAAAATAATTCACATTCTTAAGGGAAATATGAGGGAAAAGGGAGAGAAAATTAAAAATAAGATTTGGATCTTCGAGGTGATGAAACCTAAAGAAGGGATAGAATAGCGAACCATCTACCATTCCTTTTGCATATGAAAGATGAAATTGTAAATTGAGAGAATATTTAGGGGTTCGAAGAAAGTGAGAGTTTGATAACGATCAGAGACATGGATTG